CTGGCCAAGAAACAATTGACCACATAAACCCACATAAATTCAAAATGCGTCGTTTTTATACATTTTGTTTTTTCATGGCTTGAATATGGAACAAACAATATATAATATTCAATCAGTGAGTTTTTACCTGTCCACAAAGCCAGGCCAGGTATTTTTGCACCTCTCCAGTAAACTTAACTGTCTCCTGATTGTCTGACAATCATGATAGTGGCATTGATCTTCTGTTTATTTCTTAGCAAGAAATCAAAATGTTGAACTACTCCTTTAAGACTATATATTGAAAATAGCTTAACTGTACCATTATTTAACAAAAAAAAGAAAGTGCATCTGCAAGCAATTTTCCTTTTTGTTTTTTTTCAATATTTCATAATTGTGTTTATGCATATGTGACCTTTTATTATTAATTACTTCTGCTCTTATTTATTTTGTAGCACCAGTCATAGAGATTGTGGAAAGAAAAAAAGTGCACTGGATGCTTCAGCATTTCAGTTGAGTCTAAAACCACTAGATGGTGTGGTTGTCTCTTCACATGAGAGGGGTTGAGTGGAGAAAATGTCTAGCTGGAGATAGAGTCATATTGAGTGTAAGTGTGAGTGACTCAGCTTATGCAACATAAAACACACACACACACACACACAATCTCACCAGGTTTTGAGTAAGATATTCTCAAATAATGCACTGCACTTGCTCCGAATATGGAGCATATGGAGCAGCTGAGCAACTCCTTGTGACAAGCAAACAATCTCATAGCGTCTGAAACTCCTTTTCAACAAAGAGCTCATCCAGACAGCAAGTTCACACAGGGAAAGAAAAGAAGTAAAACCCAATCCTCCAAATCTTTATCCAGGCACTGACTCAATCACATTTGAGAATGCAGCTGCCTGCCATGCGAACAGAAAGCTGTTGACAGACAGAATAAATACTGAACAAAAGGTAAGTATGTTCAGGTTCATAGGTTCGTAATTGGCAGACAGAGGCCACGGAAACCCTTCAGCTGCAGGGTTTGTCGAGTTGCTGTTGGATATTTCAGTGCATTAATGTGGCAATCAGACCTGTTCCTGTGTCTCACCCCACTCTGTCTCTTTGTCAAATATTTATTCAGAAATTAGCATAGAGTTTGACATTCATTTCCCTGTCCTCCATTCGTTTCAATTATTTCAAATCACAGAAAGGTATGTTCTATGAAATGAACACAATTTTCTGTTCATGACTTATGCCATAGTGGGTTTTTTTCACTCCAATTCTGTGACGTTTTCTTCAGATAGATATTTTTTTGTTATTTCAAGCTGTAGAATATTTCCATTTCCATATTTTCAGTCTTAAATATATTTCTGTATTCTTGCATTTCTTTAATGTTCAACAAAAACATTCTTCTTGCACCTGAGAACGTAAAGCTTTATATTATCGACTCTTAGCGAGCTTTGCTGCTTCTCAAGGGCGAGATAAGAGCAGACATTTCCCTGTGCTTCAGTGTGTTTCTTTTTTTTTCTTCTCCCCCCCCTCTCCCCTGCAGCAGATGGCAAAGAGAAAATCACTTTCTGCTGGGGGCAGGATGCATCAGGGTCAGGGTTTAAGCTTTGAGGTCCACTCTGAACCTGGTTGATTTGACAGAGAACTATTTTGCATACGCTGAGTCTAATCAAATATATGAGAAAGAAGAGCGCAGGATTTGTGAAGCAGCTTGATACAAAGAAACTGATTAGATTAGGGATTTTACCGAACAGCAGGCTGTAGCCGCACACTCCGGCCTGACAACAGACACGTACAGGAACATGCAGACACAAACGGAGACTCACAAAAAGGTTTGCAGTGCACTCCGAGCGAAGGAAAGGCAGGAGATGAAGTAGGTGTTCATATTGACATTCCAAAGGACCTCATTCAGCCGAACCTACACAGACTGTTACTGTGTGATGACAGCCAATCAGCAGGAAAGGACAAAAATAATTGTCGTACAATTTAAGTGAATAAGCTGCACCGAAACTCAAATATTTCTTCATTTTCTTGTTTGCTTCTTTCGTGCTTTGATTGAATTGATCTCCGAGGACAATGACAAACGATTGCATTCAAAAATGATGGCTCCTTTACAGAGAGGAAGTCAATACTGGAAAATAATAAGGCGCTGAAATGTTGGAAGTTATGTCAACCACAGCAAAACAAGGGCTGGCTGAGAAAAAAGCATGTTCCCTGCACAATTACACTGCAGCTAAAAAGGAATGCAGAGAGTGACATCATGTTGGCACAGTGGTGCATGTTATTTAAAAGCCTCATATGCCAAAACCATGAATCATTAGCAGCTTATGCAGATGAACACTTTGATTTATAGGTCGTATGTGATCCATTTACAATTAGAGACTTAGGGAAAAACACTACATACACGATTAGAGCGGCTCATTCAACAAACAGCAGTGTTACATAATACCCTGAAACAATCAATGAAACATGAATATTTAAAGAGCCATCCAGATGAAGGCTTTCTTTACAGTAGGACAAAGTTCAGTTTGCAGAAAGACGGACAAATTACTTTGAGGCAATTTGAGCTTGAATGAAAGCCCACATAAACAGAACACCTACAAGGAGGGCCTGTTTAGAACCCCTTTTCTTACATATCTCAGATGTACTTGTGTGGGTGTATATATTTCTTACATGTTGCAGCCAAGCTGATGACTAGCCTTGGGACAAGACTGTTTGTAATGCCACAATGACAAAGATGGTGATTGCTTGTTCATTTCAACACAAATATGTACAAATGTGTGAGTTTTTTTTTTTTTTTAAACCCTTAATCCTTTTCCTAAACGCTGAGGAGGAATTCGCTCAATTGATCTCCCTACACCCAACGCTCCTGTTCAGCTTTGTGCTTCAACATTCCTGTGGACTCCGCATGTGCCTCCATCAGCCCACCTTCCGAGAAGTGAACCCCATCCGGCGAGGCTGAATCCATGGGGAATCGACTATGTGCCTCTGCATAGTGAGCGAGCGGGTGAGGGAGTGAGTGAGTGAGTGGGAGTCAGTCAAAGCCCCGAGCACTTATAGGGAGGGAGGTGGAGGGCCGGGGCTAGCAGTGAGGAGGTGGCTGCTGGGAGGCAAAGCTAATTCACTGTGACAGAAATCAGAGCTGTCAGGACCACCATGACCAAGCAGCATGGACAGCACATATCCAGTCAAACCCACAGCCAAGAGAAAGGAAGGATGTTTGGGGGGGGGGTGGGTGTGCTCAAAAAAAAAAAGTAAGAAGGGGATGTATTGCATAAGGCACTTAGTGAGAGAAAGAATGTGTGTGTGAATGTGTGTGTGAACCACCAAAATAGAATCGACAACGTAATGAGGCACACAGGTGAGAAAGAGCGAGAAAGAGTTTTAGAGCAAAAAGCCGAAGATTGAGACGGACGGACAGGATTCGTCGAGCTCAAGGACTCGCGCAAACTGTTGTTTTCACAGCAATAAGAAAACATCCAGACAGAGTCACACACATTTATATACATAAAAAAAAAAATAGAAATACAATAATACAGTGGGCATATAACTAAATCTCAGTCCTCTGGGATTATTGGTGAAAGGTTAACGGATAACACATGTAATATTCATGAGGAAAGCTCCAAGGTTCTAATAATCGGTTAGTAAGCAAAAATACTAAAAATTTAATGCTATAGAATATTAATAGAATATTGTGGGAAAACTGATATTGTTGAGAGAGATGGAGAAGGAGAGATAGGGGAGAGCGAGAGAAGGGCAGCCACCAGCATCATTACTTAATGATGAGAGAGGGAGACACAAGGCTGGTCTCTAAATGACACAGAGGAGGAGGAGGAGGGGGGATTGTGGGAGATTAAGTGAGCTCTTTGCTGTTTGTTATACACTGCAAAGCACCGCGGGATGTTTGCTGAGCGGCACTCTCATTTGGGACGTGGAGGAAAAAACCGGCAGGGGGACCTTAAACTTGGCTGAGGAGAAAAGGCGAGATCAGTGTATTATTCCTTGAGCGCCTCGGGAGAAGGATCCAGGAAGAAGATAAGGATTAGACAGCACTGTTGTGGGTATTCATTCATAGGATACAACTTGGAAATAGGGGGAAATAAAAAAAAAAAAAACGGAGGAAAGTTGTGGAGCCTCATGTTGTCGCTAAGCAGTTTATTTTGGATTTGCGGTTCGGAGGAAGTTTTTTTTTCTAATCATTTTTGGAGGGGAGAATGGGATTAACTAAATGAACTAAACTGCCCACTTGTTCGGAAGTGGAATGAACTTTTTGCCTTTTCAAATCTTCTTCTTTTTTTTTTTTTTTTAAATCCAAGCAGCCTTTAGAGTCACACAGTGGAAAACCTGCTCGACCTGATGATGGTCGTCTTCAAGTCACTTGGTAACAACTGAGAAGGTGAAGTATTTCAGTTTCTGTGTACAACATTTAAATGCTGAAGTTTCATGTGTCTAAATGTTTTATAATGATCTGTAGTTGGACTTTGTTAAATGATCTTTTCATGTTTTTGTTTTTTTTCTCTAATTTCAGTTTGTCATAGACAAGGTTTTCCTTTTTATTTTTAGTGGTCTGCAATAGTGAACTGCATATGTTTGTGATTTGGGCTGTTTTCCAACAATATAATACACTATTTTCTGAAACTATCTAGATCAAACGAGTAATCAGTTAAGAAAATCAACATATTGCCAGATAACAAAGTAGTTTTTTTATTAACCTTATACAGATAACTGCACCAAAAACTATGAGTTGTTTCTATATACATAAAAAACATCTTAAAATAATCTGTGGTGAGAATTTCTGATTTGAAAGCGAAGGTTTTGTGAACCACTTCTTCAGCTTTTGCTATAGATACTGAATTCTCCTGTATGGTGTTGACCTTGTAGTCATCTTGTGTCTGCTAAACAGCTCCAAGCACCAACAGCTTGAAAAAGTAGTTTTCTACTGGTATATCATGCTTTTTGTTCCCCATTTGATTCCTATTTAGGGAGAGCCAGCGGGTTTAGAAACCTTGAACGTCCTGACTTCTACAAACATGACCTGTGGACTGAATCCAGGCCTCTTCCTGCTGCTGCTGTGCCTCCTCCATGGCTCTGAGGAGACCTGCCCAGCCATGTGCCTCTGTATTTCCGACACAGCGAGCTGCAGCTCTGGCGGTCTGTCCAGACTGCCTCTGACCCTGCCCTCCTTCTCCGTCACCCTCGACCTCAGCCACAACCACCTGACTTGGTTGAGTCCCGGCAGCTTTCAGAGGATGACCAGGCTGGAAAACCTCCGACTGGCCCACAATCAAATCAGCACCGTGAGTCATGGCGCGTTTCGCAACGCCTCCGGCCTCAGACACCTCGACCTGTCCTCCAACAAGCTGCATATGATAGAGCAGCACTACTTCCACGGGCTATGGAGGCTGGAGGAGCTCCTCCTCTTCAATAATAAGATCGCTCAGGTGGAGGCTGGCACGCTGAACGGCCTGAGCAGCTTAAAAAAGGCCTACTTCAGCTTCAACCAAATCACACACTTCCCGTTCTTCTCCATCCAAGATCACAGTCACCCATTCCTGACCATGTTAGACCTTTCATCGAACCGAATGTCTCGTCTGCCGTGGGAGGATGTGAAAGCTTTGCCCGGGTTGGTGCAGCGGGGCTTGTATCTCCACAACAACTCTCTGATCTGTGACTGCTCCATGTACAGCGTGTTTTGGCACTGGAACCTGAGGGGTTACGACTCACTGAAGGACTTCACGGATGAGCTTACCTGCTCCATCTATGGGGAGCCACGAGCGGCGATCCGGTTTCTGCGATACAACCGCTTCTTCCACAACTGCACCGTGGAAAAAGCAGTCTTGCAGCCTGTTACGGTTCTGCTGTCCAATGTGCTGGTTTCAGAGGGAGACAGAGTGCGTCTGGACTGCCAAACATCCCTGAGTAGCACAGACCTCTCATTTACATGGCTCTCCCCCAGCAAGGGGTACATCACCCAGGCCAGCATAAATGACACACTAATTAGCTTGTTTCCTAATGGCACCTTGGAGATCGAAGAAACCAAGGTCAATGACTCTGGTCTGTATGTGTGCACAGCTGTGGATATTAAACAGGGCCTGAATGCAACTCGGGAGGTGAATGTGACGGTGCTCCTGCCTGCAGCAGAGTCATTCAACACAGGCTACACGACATTGCTCGGCTGTGTGGTGACTCTGGTCCTAATCTCCATTTACCTTTTCCTGACTCCGTGTCACTGCAGCTGCTGCAAACGGTCGAAACCTGCAGCTATCCCCATCGCCACCTATGACCCAAGCACCCTATCTTCTGTTTTCTCCACAAGAGACCAGTGCAAAACCCAAACGAATAAGCATGTAGCATTCACAGAGCCGATGATGGAAGAAGGAACAGAATGGACTTCAGAAAGTTGAACAAAAGACAGGAAAAACCTCTGGACAAATGAAACCTCCTCACTCAGGAAGTAGCGGATGTTATTTAAGTGTAAATGCGGCAAAGGGGGGCAAAAAAAGAACTTCATGTCTCTTTCCTGACTGCCAGCTGTAGTTAAAAGGCTTTCTGAGCAAAAAAGTAATATCTGATACTTGGCTCTTTTCTGTCATATGGCCAGGTAGTTGAAATGAAAGTTTCAACTTTGGTTTATTACCCTGAGCGTGCTGACACCGCCCAATTACAGTAGAGCCATTATCGGTCCTAAAAATCAGCTAATAACTTTTCTGTGTACTCAGGTCCAGCACCAGGGGGGATACTTCTTATGGGATCAGAGAATGAATCTGGCTCACTTTTCACAAAAAAAAAAAAAGTGTTAAAGTGTAAAGTTTCCACAATAACGCTGCAAGTGAACGACTGCACAGACTGCAGGAGGCCATTTCAGTTTATATATCTTAGTTGAGCTGAGGCGCTCCATAATCAGCGTTGTAGAGCTGAAGATAAATTTAAATATGCAGCCCACGTCTACTGAAATGCGTAGCTTGAACGTGAGGCACCTAAAACTTTATCCAACACCTGAAAACTTCGTTTCCCCATTTTCCCGACAAAGGATTCAATCCCTTTAGATCAACATTCTGTACTGATGTACTTTTGGTTTTGAAAGCAATTATTTTATCATTTCCGCCAATGCCTGCAAATGCAAACAGTCTCATATAAACCTGTTGCATTAATGTGACTCTCCATGTGCACTCTGCTTATCTGGTAAATAGTGAAGTGCAGAAATCAGCAGTGTCAACAAACCAAAAACCAAACAGCAATTGGACTGCTCTTCAAAGACAGCATCTCTTTGATCAAACACAGCAGAGCACCTCTGAACATTGCGGATCAAACACAGCCACTAAATTTGTACCCAGGTGACAAATTCTGCAAGCAGCTCTGACGCAAACCCTACAGGGGGCATGATTTTGTATAGCTTTGTTTGTTCCGTTTCTTTTCTTTTTTTTCTTAAATTCAGCGTAACATGCTTCAAATGACAGAATTACATGCTGCAACAACAGAGATGAAAGATGCTGAAGAAGGATCAGCA